CACAAATCACCGAGAAATTTTTCATCAAGACACCATATGTATTTACACTAAACATTTTCGACCGAAAGTTTGATCACATTATTTCAGAAGCACTAACAAACACACAAGCATACGAAAGTTTTAAAGAACGCTTCCAAATCTTTTCACTAACCTTTCATTTCCTTGCACCACACGAAAGAGATTTACACTGCTCACACGATATTATGTTGCGCACTAAACAAACACATACATACAGTTACTATCGTTTCATCCAAAATCACTTTGACCTCCACACACCCTCTAGACAACCACACCATCGTTTCCAATTCATCAATTCAAAATACACTTCACCGTATTTCCTAAATTTCACATATTGTATTAAAGACACTAACCTCCATGGTATTCTTCGTAATTATGACCCCATAACCCAAATGTATATTTTCTGCCCCATCACCAAGACCTTCAACGCCGAAGAATCCCGACCCTTCCTTATCCCGCACGAGTTTGTACAGCCTATAGAGATCCCAATTTTAGAATTCATCCACAACACTAAATTTAACCACAAATTATATAACTTAATCCAAAACACACCTTATGAGTTTGCAGTAGGCACTGAAGAACTAACCACTATTAAGGCACTTCAATTGCTTTGGCCACTGCTTCAAACTAAAAATATCATCCGCATCTTAGCTAAACTACTAACAACTTCAGAACTAATTCACGATATCTTCCCCCACGGTTTTTTCCCCGACGACTAACAGGTAAGTATGAATTCAATGAATATTACTAACTAATTAAAATATTAAAAAACTCACCATACTTTATTCATGTTTTCTTTAGATTTTTAGCCTTCATCCGACGATCACCTACAAAAACCACAAAAGACAAATAAAAATCGCAAATTTCATCAAACAGATTTCAAAAATTCTATTAATCTCTTACACTTATAAATTTATAAATTTAATACCAATGCAGTAAATTCATTTCTAAAATTTTCCCCCACAAGCAGTAAATCTAATTATGATGAAAATTTGTATCTTAATATTCCCCCATGACTAGCAGTAAATTTCTAAATTCTATGTAGTAAATTAAATAAATGCAAATGCAGTACTAACCTTTTGATATTTTCATTCATTCGCACAGAAATTCTATCCACACTCGCACAGCTCGCCCACGAAGAATTGTTTAAAATAATGAATTTCAGTTTCAAGTTTTCACACTCAACAACTCTAACATATAATAACATGTTTCAAACTTTCCTTTAACCCGGTTGGAAAGGAATCATATACTAAACAAAACTAACCAACGCAGCTTACTAAATACCACAAATCATAGAATAACAGCATGACTAAGAAAAGGAAACCAACGGTACCCAAACCGGATTAACCCAGTTTAAAACTGGATAATTTATTCTTTTGAAGACTATTACAAAGTCTTAGAAAGAAATAATAAAACACAAAAAAGTCGAAAGACAAACCCATACCACAAACAATTTGCTTTTTAGAAAAAGTACATAACCAACAAGACATAAGTAAAACCACAACAAACCCAACATAAAACGTTGTCACATAACAGGACCCCTCACAAACATCGCATGAAATTATACTCCCACACCTGGCCTAACCCACCAGGAAAGGACGTCCTGAGCATGCTCTATAGCCGGCCTAACCCACCGCGCTACATCCACGCTTTGTGACCACACCTTTATTTTTAATAAGAGCTACTCAAGGGTGAGTAACTCTTCAAAATAACCGAACTAAAACAAAAAGCTTTTGTGAAAACAACTAACTAAAATCATAATTAAAAAATACTAAACTAATAAAAGTTTTATAAAATGTAAAATCACATGATGCAATATATAGATCAGAATACAACACCAAAGACGAACATCAAAAGACAAGACGACCCCACTACACTCGAGAGAGAATGACCAACTACAATCGATATGCCGCTCACAATCACAACTCAAAGGATTTAGAGTACGACTTGACTTCGCAGAAAAGGACTTCATTGAACTAGACCAATGACCACCTCGATGTTCAAGTATACGTACAGATCCGAGTAACCAGGCATCCCCTCCACGCACAATCTCCACGCCATTCCCAAGCTAGATCAAACACAAAAGAAGTTCTCTCCGAAGAACAGAAAAACCTGACATAGCCAACCATTCTGAAATCAGAATTGATGCTGTTGCAGAGACTCAGTCGTTGTCACAAGAAGAAGCGGAAGAAAATTATGATGTTCGCCAAATACCAACGTCCATCATCCATCCTTGAACTACAGAAGAACTGTTCTAAAAAACTCTGTAAAACCCGGATGGGTGGAACCTGATCTAAACTACATTTTATGATTGGATAAATTAAATGTTTTACCAATGTAAAGTATTTAATATTAACCAATCATGATCCATCTAACTAACAACCCACTTATTTGTAAGTGCTGAAGTTACTTGTAATTTCAGCACCAGAGAGATTTGAATTTAACTTAGAAATTAGTTGGACTCTCCCGAGCACTTCAGCAGCCGCAATAAACCAGTATACCCTAGATCTATTGAGCCTAGCAGAGACTAGTTAAACAACCTGAGACTAGATAGTATAAGAGTAAGATTAGGATCGGTATTAGACTAAGAAGTTGCACGAATCTATCCGGCCGAAAATAAGATAGCGTGACGAGCAGACGGTGTACCCTATCCGAAATTACTCTATGAGTTACACTTCGGTCCTAACTCATTTGGTCCCCAAACTTGAACTAATACAGATGAGTGGACAGCTATCCAGTAAGTTTAGGCTTCAAAATTCATGACTTTTAATTTTTAGAAAAATTGAAACTTAATTATCAACTGTACTAAACCAAGGAGTTTCCAAACAATCAGCACAACACAGTCTGGAATTTTTGAAGTTTCTCTATTACAACATACATTTTAAACCAATAATTGATTCCGTGCGATGCCAATCTTTCTTAATTGAGAGTAAGTTTCCCATTTTAGGTTGGGTTTTGTCCCATTGCAGGCTTTTAATATTTCCTTTCAATATGTCCCCTGAAGTTTTTTCTGAGTTGGAACCAAAGAAGACATTGCTTCAATTGACATTTCACTATTATATTATTTTGACCACCTCGCAGAAAAAAGTTTTAATGCTGTCAAACTCTTCACTAATCTTCACTAATGCTTTGGATCAACAAGCTGAAATTTAGGACAATTTAGATCCGAGTTAACAATAGCGCTACGGTTTAAAAACAGATGCAACTGGTTGCAATGTTATAGGAATACCCGGATCGAGGTGCTCACTTTAAGTTTCGATTTTCAAAGTCGAGCAAATGTCAGTGCTCGACCGAAAAAGAATAGTCGAGACAGGGGTTTGGGTACAAATTACCCCGAAACATACATCGACCACAGTCAAGGACAGACGAAACATACCTCGGACATGGTCGAAAAACACCGATTGTCCCACGGTAGTTCGGAATCAACATGAAAATTTTCGTTCAATCATCAACACAGTTTTTTTAACAATTTCGATTCAAATTGCAAACCAGTGTTCCAAAAGATGAAAAGAATAGCTCAAAAAATAGTTCATCTCTACAAAACGTTTAATTTTCAAATAACTCTAATAACTTCATTCCGATTTAAAAAAGCCTCATAAGATGTTACACGAAAAGCATATATTATAAGGTTTAAATTTGAATAACTGATATTGTTTGGCAGTCAAAATATACATATATGCAGTCGAGCTTGGTGGAAACATGTTTTGCTTGTGTCGAGCACTGTCGAGCTTTTTTTTTGTGGTCAAACACGGTCGAAACAAACCGAAATTTGACTGATTCGATCGAAACATTCCAGTTTCTAGTTGCGACGGTCGAAACAAAAAGTGAGCACTTAGACTCGGGTAGATGCGCGGATATAAAAGAAACTGTTAATCATACAATTTTCTTGTAATTCCACATGTACAGAAAATTGCAAGAAAAGTCTATGATTAGTTTTTTTTTCAAATATGGTAAATGAAAGACAACCATTTTATAATTAACCAAAAAAAGTGATTTTTTTAAAAAAAAATTATAATATCAAAATTTTTGGCATGTGTTCGTAACTGAACACAAAAACCAAGGTTTACTCAAATTTAGAGCCACCAAAGGTTTGACATCCTGAATTTAAAATGCATTGGAAGTGACCTGAATTGCATAAGAGCTATCTTACACAAATTATATAATGCAAAAGTTTTCAAAAATGATGATTTTTTTATTTGAATTTTTAAATTATCAGACATTGATAAAGGCATACAAAGGCATGCCATACAAAAAGAAGTAGGTGTTTGTAGCGTTTTTGAAAAAGTTATCCTGAGAAACGAAAAAATATAATCCAGGACTACGCTATGCACACAAAAAATATAAATTTTGAATGTATTTTTTTTTGGAAACTGTAGAAAAATTGGTTTGCGGTTAGAAAAATATTGTTGCCATTAAAAAAATTCATCTATTTTCCATGTATAGGAATTGTATGCCTGGCTTTTTTCCGACAAAAAAGTTTTTATTTTTTATTTAGTACGATACACTGACTTTTATGCGAAAACAGGAAAAAATTCTTTGAAAACTTTATGACCCATTTTTGCAAAATGTATGAAAGTTGTAAGATTAGTATTTTCTCATAGACTTAGTTTATGGAATTTGATTTTTAGCATCTTAGGCTGAAAAAAAACGAAAATGACATTGAGTGTTGTGTAAACAATCAGAAGTAAACTTTTTGTTTTCATATGATAATATCTGTGACAATTTCTGATATGCCATCAGTACTGGTTAAAAGCAATCCTTTTAGTTTAATCCATTTGGGCATCAAAGCAACATTACTTCTAGTGCGCTTCAGGGGATGTGGTTGCTGATGTAAACTTGATGGTTCCAACCGGGATGTTAAATGGAATTTTCCAATCGGAGTCTTATCATGCAGCTCTAAGCATTTGATACTCAATTTAAACAGTCAAGTGGAGGATGTTATAATGGTCCCCATTTCCGTTACTTTTTGTTTACGTAATCACCTGTAGATTAGATTTCCTCATTGTCTGGTTCAGCTGACTCTGGAACATCAAGTTCACTTGATTCATCACTAGATTTCTGGCATCGAGATCTCCAGAATTGAATTTATCAATTTCTTCCTGGGACAGTTGGAGTTCCTGTGTGAACTCACCACTGCACTGAGAAAGGGCTGGTAGAAGTATGAAAATAATCGTTTCTGTTGGAGTCATTTTCACAAACAATATATTTCTTCAACCGAGATGACACAAGAAAATGGAGCACAGCAATAACAAGCTGGACTTTGAGAATCTTGAAAATTCGGTAAACGCCTTGAAAGTTGAAAAAAAATTGAAAAAGGAATTATACGCGAAGTCGGAAACTTAATTGGTCGGATGTATACTATTTTTCAGAAAAGTCAAATCTTATTAAAGGCTTAATTCTAGATTTAATCTATTTAGTTATTTTTATATTTTGTCTGCAGTATACTATATCTTTTCAGCTGACTACTTGCATTAAACAAAAAACTTAGAAGTAAAAAAACATGGTTAGAATATCGATTGTATGATAAAAGAAACTTCACGTTAATTTTCGCTGGTTTTCATGTAAACTTAGAGTGATGTATCACAAACACAACTGTAAGAAACGATTCTAAGTGAGTCATGGTTTCGATTATATTTTGCAACATAATTGCAAAATGTATTTTTCAACCATCAGAAGACAATGAAACGATTGCTGATATTTGATAATACGCTGCTTTCTAGTATATTTTGTTTTTACCAACATAACTTGCTAGCGTTCTTTTCAGTTTCAAATGGAATGACCGTATCACCTATCTCGAATGCTCCGGTCGATAATCAGTCCTCAATAATCGTGCAGATTTCACTCGTTCTCAGAACTACTCGAAATTGCATGGACCAAGCCAATTTGATTCAAAATCGCTAAGTGATAAAAAGATAAAACTCATCTTTGAACACCCAGAGTTACTTAGAAAAAATAATTTTCATTTTTGATCACAAATCAAAAGCTTCTAATCAAAACCTTTACAATAAAGATTTTCTTAGAGCTGTTAAAAAATCACATTATCTCAAATTATCTGTCCAGTTGGTCTAGATATATTTTTTTCGTATTTCAGACTATTTTCAAGAAAATTGTTGTCAATTGCATAGACGAATTTTTAAAATTCAGCTTGCAAAACTGTTTTTTATAAATTTAGTCTACTAATTATCATAGTTTTGAATTTTCAATAAAAAAATTGACTTCAGCTACAATTTCTAATAAAAATAAATAAAAACAAATCGAATCCCACTAAAATCACAAGCTTCATAACAAATTCACCATCAAAATATTTATGAACAAATTGTTTCAAGTGAAGCTAGCAACTCTGCCTAGAATCAGCCACAGGCATCGCCCTCACGACTCGTGACCCTACTGAATGTGTTTTACAAACACGTTTTTTCCGAAGAAAAATCAAATCAGATGGCCAATGAAATTTAAACAATTTTAATATTTTTAAAGGTTTTAAACTCTTTTTTTCTTCTTTAATGTTTCAACTCGATGATTTTTGGTACCGTATCTGGTAGCAATATCGATCTGTTACCATGACATTGGTCAAGTTCGTTTGCAAAGCGAACAAATGATTATAGTTCTGCACTAGCAAAAATGTTTCAGGTCTGAAACTCGCTAGCTAGTCATAGGTTTTGTTTAGGTTTTTCGAAATTGTTGAACTTATGGTTAGTGCTTCTACTAACTGCAACTTGTGCCTAGAGTCTCCATAACACCTGTAGAGCACGATGGAGACTTTTGAACAGGGCACATCCCACTGAACACATGCATCAGCAATCAAATTCAAGAGGGTTTTCAATTTACTTAACGCAAACTGAAACCCAACACCAAGAAAATTGTACGATTAGTTGTAAAGCAAGCTCCACAAAAAAAACTTGGTTAAAGAGTATCGAAACCTTTATCGAACTGCTCTCTCAACACTCAATTAGTTTGTGTAACTTGCATTATTTTTAGTTGTTAAACTTAGTGTCGTGTAAATTGTTGTTATCAATGTTATAGCTTTCTGAAAAGCTGTGAACATAGCAATTGAAACAATGTCCACTATCATTTTCAATTATTTTTCAAACTCATTCAAAGCATTATAATAGGTTTTTTTTGCTCTTCCTAATTTGAGGCAATAATTTGACACTTGTGCTCTTATAATGAAGAAAACCAGCAAAACCTGAGGATCGTTTCAAATTCCAGCTGGGTTGATAAAATTCGTACTGCTTCAATTGCTATTTTTCAAAAGATGTTTGAATACTTCTTTGAACAGCTAAGTACATAAAAATGCATTTCAAAAACACTGGTTATTTTGATTTTAATCATCAGGTTCAGAACGTGTTTTCGTTTTTGCAAATTGTTTTGCGTTTTGAATACCTGATTCAGACAAATTTCGTTTCAGCAACTTTTTATTCAAACACCTCACTGAATGATTTATTTTATGAAACTAATATTGTAATTAAACAGATTAAACACGTATCTGATTCTATAAAACAGACAACAATTTTTTCAATTAAGGTGAGGATAAAATTTCAGCTTTTCATCAATTCATATTCCTAATCAATTATTAAACAAAACTTTTTCCCGTTTTTCGTTGTCTGAAAATTAAATCTGCTGCTGTAGTTTTTGACTTAAAAACTCTCATATTTTTTGCTCGTTATTGAAGATGATATGATTTGAATTCATCTCATCCAGTCGCTGACTTGAGAAACACCCAGAAAAAAAAATCATTTTTTTCTTCAATCACAGTATCATCTTCAAAAAGAAAAATTATTGAGTTTTACAGAGAGAATGAAAATCATCTGCCCTTAAATAGCTCTTCATTAAACTAAGAGATAGTCCACAAACTGCCTATGTTCCAATTTTAAAAATAAGTACTGGTGGTTGACTGTGATTCAATAAAATAAGCAGATTGATTTTTTCTTCAACAAATAAGACTTGATCTTCATTTAGCAAAAGAGCTATCGTATCAGTTGTATAATAACATGTATGAAAGCCAACTGACACTCAGTGAAGCGACAGCGCTCTTCAAAAAATTGCACTAGCCTATGATATAGCAGCTTCTCCAAATTTTACCAAGTGAAATGATCAAAAAAATGGACCTAGAGTTATTAAAGTTGTTAAATTCGCCACCTTTATAAAGTACCACTTATACAGTTTTTTAAAACAGGTAGAGTTTTTGACTCAATTCGATGAACCTGTCAAAAGGGCGCTTCAAATTAGTCAAAATATTAGATTCAATAATTTTTTAAAGTTCAATTGATAAGCATCCGGGCCTGCTGAAGATTTCTTAGCCAATTGTAAGATACCTTTAAAAGTTTTAGAAAGGTTAACGGTTCTAATCAAAAAGATTTTTGATTGAAAGCAGGAAAGTTTGTACTGGTTTGATTCTCAAACTGTGCTGCTTTGTTTTCAACAATTGTAGCAAAATTTGTTTCAATATAAGAGCATTCGAAACAGATTCTTGCAATTGTTGTTCGATCGTTATTTCTTTTAAAGAAAAAGTTTTTGAAGAGAATGAACAGCTTTTTTCCATTTTTGATGCGTGCAAACTCTTAGCATAAAAACTGTGCTTGGCAGTGCGAATAAAAGTTTTTTGTTTTTCTTTGACAAGGGTATTTGTTCATTAAACAATGATTTGATTGGTTTTTTCTTAGCTGCTTATAAATAATTACACGCTTTGTAATTTCGCTTTTGATGCTCTTGGTGATACATAGGTTATTTCGCTTTGTTAAATCTAAATATTTTTTTTCTGGTGCATTCTTTTCCAGATTATATCAAGTTTCATTGATGAGTTTTACTCAGTGCTTGTCAACATTCTCATTTTCATTTACATTTAAGCCTTTCAAACCCTTTTGCAGATTGAGACGCAAGCTATACAAGATGGATCACTCAAATAATTCAAGGCTCGAGTTTTTGATAAATTAATTTTAGAAGCAGTCGCATAACTAACATCAAATGTTAGTGGAAACTGATCTGAGATATCCCAATCTTCAATTGAAACAGAAACAGGGGATTGCTTATAACTGGATGTAATGATGTTGCAGTATTGACTGTTTGACTTGTTATCATTGATTGTTGTGCTATTTCTAGATGTTTGAAGAAACGAGAATCTTATAATTTGAAATATGTTGGTTGTCGTTGCGTATGTGTGTATTTGTTGAATTATAAACTAGAACGGTTCGACTAATTGGCAACAACTTTTCAAAGCTTGTTGAAAAAGCTCCTTTTTCCGGCGCGCTCAAGAAGTAAATCAAGTTCATGAATTCGTTTTTATTCAGTTTAATTTGATGCCTACTGCCTTCATATCAGTTTTAAATTGAAAAGCATAGAAACTCGTTATATTGAGATGAATATGTCGCAACTCTGCCGCTTCTAGACTCTGTACTTAACAACCAGAGGCCAGGGGTTATCAAAAAAATTATACGTTTTTTTTTTTTCGTTTTCGCAGCCAAGTCTCACTTAATGCTTTTGCGGACGGCAAAGTACTTATATAAACGTGCAGTGCTAGGTAGTGGCACCTTTAAAATCAGTTATTTAACTATAGCAGCATGCATGTGTCTCTTTCATTCATTGATACTACTCTTTCACTCATTTAGAGCATATGTTAGCAAGAACTAGATTTCGTGTCTTATGTTTGTTTTCCTGAATTCTAGATAACTCAGTCTCTAGGAGCTGGGCCATTTTTCGTCATTTCTTTCACTCAGACCTTTGATAAATCTCAATTGCCAGCTTTCAAAACTTCTCGTCCATTATTACCAAATTTTTTTTACGACACAGGCTGTTTATTTCTCGTAATTGCTGCTCTGGTTTTTAGATCATCGAGAATTCTTCGATTGCGCACGAGAATCGCAGTTCGAGTCCCTTCTCAATTAAATAGAACACTTTTAGTTGACATTTGTGAGTTGTTGTACGTATCTTCTATCTTAGGCAACTTTTAGTAGTTCAGCGTCACGTTTGGGAGACGTTCCCTGAGAAAAATGGGCTTCCCATAATTTGATTTTAATTCTTGCCTAGCATCACTTGACGATGATTATCTATCCTTGGTTCCTAAAATCTTTCATCTATGCCAATAATAGTCTGTTAAAACAGAGAGACCTAAAGACAGTTCAATACGAGGGCAAGCTGTACGCGGGACGGGCGCACACTTTTGTGTCTGTATATTCTTGGATTTAAAAGACAAATCTATAAGCAAGTTAAAAGTATGTTAATTAAACTTAATGTGGATGAAAATATTTACGCGTACAAACATCTGTTACTCAAACTTTGTCCGTAACTCAATGAGCAAATATAGCTAATTATTGGAAACAAAAAATTACTAGCTAGGCCTTTTCAAGGTTTTTCAAGATCGAATCAAAAGGGTGTTCAAAAATATCGAGAAAAAACTGTTGTTTGAAAAATTTAATCACCGTTTCACTTCTTTCAGGCTTGAAAATTTAGCGTTGCAATTTTTTATGAAACTGACTGTCCAATTTTTCATTTTTTCTTCTAAAATTCAATTTTTAAACGAGCTACTTCAGGTTAATTTATTTTAAGCTTAAATCTTAGGAAAAATAACTGCATCTGAGATTTTCAAGGAACTCAAGTTTTTTGGTTTTTTTCTTTCAAATTAAAAAGCACTCTTGGCACCGAGTGCTGTTTGGACTTAATTGTAGTATGCTTTTTGCAGATACTTTTTAAAATGTCGAGGTACTTGAGGAGCTGTTTGGAGAAATTTTTTCGAAACTATATTTTTTATTGTACCATTTTTAACCAAATTTTTGTCATTAAATTTGTGGTTTGAACAAACGAAAAATTTTTCATCATTTAAAGTTTTCACGTAAATGCCTAAACTGAAAATAAACTACTTTTAATAAGAATCTTTGTTTTTGTTGGCATATACAAATTGTCAACTAATCATTTCAAAAACAAAAAAAGATCAATGCAAAACCCTACTAAACCATACCAGAGCAAAACCATACAAATTCACAACAATTAATTTTAGATACTATTTTTTGTGTATAAGATTTTTGGTTGCCGATGCAATGTTTTTTTCATTTGTTTCCAATATTTTTGCTAGACATAAATAAATCAAAACAGTTCATGCGCAGTAAATTATCCCTGTCATGTTTTAAGATCTATCTAAGAGAATTTCATTGGTTCTTTTGACACAACAAAGAACAAACTACCTGCATCAAGTAATTTGGCGGTTGAATGAAAAAAATTTTGGTAGCAAAAATTTTGTATAAAAGTCAGTTTAGTCGGACCATCAAAACTTTTTTTTAGTTCTCTGTTCATAATTTTAACTGCAAAAAACTCTATACAACTTAAAAAATGCTCATTGAAACAATAAAATAAGGTCTGCTTTTTTGTCATTATTCCACTTCCACTTTAGTGTACTTAGAGCGCAAGCCGTTCAAAAAATGTTCTTAATGTTGATTTTCAAGCGAGGAACAATCTAGAAAAACTGATAATTTTGTTTTTAAAAACTTTTTTCTAATCCCTCCATCAAAATTATGTCAGCTTTAATAAGAATTCTTTTAACTTTTCCAGAGCTGAAAATTTTATTTCTAGCCCAAAAAAAAACAATCATTTTTTGAACAGCAACTACTTGGTTTTTCGTTGCTGTAACTTTATTTAGAGATGAACAATATATATACTTTTTTTCGAAGAAAAATTTAGGGAACTTAAAGAGTGATCAAATTACAACTGAAAGGGCTTCAAATTTAAAAAGTTTGGACAAAAAAAATGAAAAGTTTCGACAATTTTTCTTCAGTCAGAGCTATAATTTTAGTTTCAAAAGAGTTTTTCAAAGTCAATCTTTGAGAAGTACTGATTTGTTTTGCTTTTGATTTCAGTTTTTTGTCAAATATTTGAGTATTTCTCAAAAATTTCACGTTAATATTTCATGGTATCAAAGCAGAAATAACATGCTACGAAAATTTTGAAAAATAACCAAACACAACAGAATCCAAGAAGATCACTTTATTCAAGTCTTTGGCGAAATTATGTTTTTTGACACTGAGAACAAGTCACTGAAATTTTAAAATACTGATACTCGAATGAATATGGGGAAAAATGAAACTTATTTGACCTTTCTTGTCCTCCAGAGCTATAATTTCATTAAGCCTTGGTGTTTAGCAAAATCATATTGATTTTGGTTTTGATTGTTTTTCAATCCTATGTTTGGGCAACGAATGTTCGTTGAACTCTACAGAAAATTTAGGAAAACCTATATAAATTCTTTCTGCGAGCGTGTTAGAAGATGATTCAGAAGAGCCATTGCCAATTCAATGGTGTGAACATCTGATTTTTTTTTAATTTCATTTTTTTAAAATTATTTAACTATTGTTTCGAAAAATTTTACATTATTTTTTCACGGTATCAAATGCTATATTTTAACTTGCGGTAAAACCTAGATTTGTTCCTTCTACCCGTTTTGTTTGTAGTTTTGTTCCTTGAATCAATTACTTCCTGCTTTTGTAATTGGGAAAAACTATGTTTAAAATTTTGAAGTGTTGTCAAACAGTTTTGAAAACTAACAAAAGCAACGAAACTCGAAATGTTACTTTTTCAAATCTTTGACGAAACTGATCTTTTTTGACAATGAAAACAAGATACTGAATTTTGCGAATATAAATCAAATCACGACTGGTAGGGTCTCAGTATGACATTACTTGAGACGTCTGTTTTTTTGTTGTACCTGGCTGATCGTGAGGAAACATTTAAAAAAAGACAGCTAAACTCATTATGAGTGATAGTTTTTTTGGCAAGTCAGTACTTTTTGAGGGTACTTTCAAAATAGGTAGATTTAGATAAAAGCTTTATTCAAAAATTATTTTGCTTAAGAAATCAGTGTTTTTAAACATGAATGAAAACAGGAAAAAATATCATAAGCTGCATGTCGCGATGTGTGCTCAATCCAAATATAACCATCATGACCAAAACTGCAGATGCATACAGGTCTCCGTCAGCTCAATTGTTTAGGTCTTGCGGAGAAAATGAGATAATTTTCTAGGATTTTTTAGCTGGCTTTTTTGCTTTTTGCTTTCCTGGTCAGAAGTTATGCATTATTTGCATTCTAAACATACTGCGCGAGTTTTTGAAGCTGATTCTTTACTTTTGTTTAGTAAAAAAAAATGTTCAATAAAATATGTTTTAAGGAGGTTACAACGTAGGTTACAGACATGATTTAGATTATATTTTAGCAACTTTTCAGTTATATATATATTTTCGAAACGTAAGTTTTTGCGCTCAATTCTTTACCCTGCGCAGAAATGAGAAGAAACGCATTTCTTGTTCGTCTTCGGGATTACTTTTTTTCAAGTCGTCGTTATCGAACTGATAAAACCCGACTTTCATCTCGTGTTCTGCTTCACTTACTTTGTTCACGACTCTGACAGGAATAGTTACTGGATCACCAACCGATTTGTTCATCGGTTTTCCCAGAATCGAGATGATTTTATCAGCTTCAAAGTTATTCCAGTTGTTGATGTAGGGTTGAAAACTTTTTTCAACTTTATTTGCAATCCAACCACAGTAAGAACCAATTTTAAGACCGAGAAACATGATATTGCATCGCGACACGGATACTTTATCTAAGACACAAACAAGGCAATAATTTTAAATTGTGACGTAAAAATTGAATGGACAGGGAAATATTGGGTTTCATAAACAGCCGATGCAGATATCAGGAGCATCCAAATAACAACCAACTCAACCCCTTCCGCATAATGCAACAGAGCATAGGTTGCAGTTACACTTTAAGTACTTACCAAAAGCCGTATTTTAAGTTAAAAAAATGTAGATTTCTGCGACAAAAAGGTAGATTTGCTCATTGAGCCAAAAACTTCCCGACGTTCGTGATTGAGAAAAAAATAAACTAAGAATTGAATTAAAGTCTTGCCAAACTGTTTCGAAAACTAAATAAATACAACAAAATGCAAAAATGTCACGTTTTTCAAATCTGTGGCGAAATTTAAAAAAGTTGTGTTTTCAAAAAAAAACTAGCTCAACTAACCAATCTGCCAATACTCTGGTTTGAAAGCGAGCGTGATGTTGAATCCAAAACGCAGTTGTTGTTGGTTGCCGACAAGTGTAATTTGAGGGCTGATGGCACTGAACAAAAAATGTAATATAGTTTAACCACCCGGGTTGACCTGCATACACCGAAAATGCTTATCATACCATTCCATACAACAAAAATCATTATCATGCAATTCCATACATTAAGTGTATGAGAAAATTCTTCCAATACAATTTTCATACATTTTCTAAAAACAATAGAAATTAAAAATTAAACAATTTTTGCGGCTTTTTGAAAACATTTCAACAGACTGGTAACGGAAAAAACTGACTTTATTTTTTTAACAAAAATGCTTACCATACAATTTTCATATATGATAATTGTATGACAAGCATTTTCGCCATAAATGATAATTTTTTGAAATTTTTTTGCAAACTTGTTAATAAAAACTTCAAATGAGTTGTGAAAACTTCTTAATCATTTTTCTGAATGATGAGAACGAATTGCGAAAACAAATCCGTTCAAATTCAAGCAAAGGAGAAGCAACAAAAAACGAAAAAAAAAAAAAGAAATTTTGTATAATTTTTTTCTCTCGAAAATGGTTTGATGTAAGTTACCTTTTCTGGAATCTGTTACCATTTAGCATTATTAAGATTTCCAATTAGATACTAATGTCCTATAATTATGTAAATTACTCGTTTTCCAAAGAAAAAAAAATCAAATATGAAAAAAAATTGGGAAATTTTATTTTTCTTTCAAGCAAGCAAAATTTTTTTTTTTACAAATTCATACCGGGCTGAAGTGCTCGACTCATGATTCGACCGAAATGGTCGAACGATGTCCGTTATTGACTTTTTCAGTCGAACGATGTCCGATTTCGACTTTTTGAGTCAAACGATGACCGTTTTCGACTTTGTTCGACTTTACCGGACATTGTTCGACTTTGTTCGACTTTGCTCGACTCTGTTCGACTATACTGGACTTTGTTTGACTTTGTTCGACTTTACCGGACATTGTTCGACTTTGTTCGACTTTGTTCGACTCTATCGGGAATTAACAGAAGAGTCCTGACTTATAACGACACTCGGACATTATTGGACTCTTTCTGTCATATCACCTTTCAAAAACCTTAACCTGGGCAGCGACCAAATATAAGAGAAAAAGCCATAAAAATTGAGCATCGTAGATTCGTGTAGCCCGAGTTCAGTTGTTGCAACTGAGGTTGAAACTGAGGTTGAAACTGAAGTTGCAACTTCTTTAAAAAAAAATTTCTCAGGTTTTCTTCTCTGTTCGCAGATTGCACGGCTTATTAGATGGGTTTTAATGTAATTTGTGCCGCATTTGAAAAAAATTTTTCCAAGAACTGTTTGTCATACAATTTTCACAAATGACAAATTTTAGTCATACAAATTCCATTTATGGCAAAAATTTTTGTCATACAATTTCCATTTATGGGAAAATGTTTATCATAGAGTTTTCATACAATTTTCTGTACGTATGGAATTGTATGGAATTATATGAAAAGAAATTTTCATTCAAATGATTGTTATCAAAATTCTAGTCTAAAAAAAATCGCCAAAATAATTAATCATCAAAATAGATATCAATTTTACTGTACTAGCCAACCTGATTCTTGCTTCCAGCTCAATTAGGCCGCTGGCTTTCAAACTAAGTGGAAACGTTTTTTCCCAAACGAACACACAATTGTGATTCCAAAAGAGTCGTTGACCAAACACCCCTTGAACTGAAGCATGAAGCGTGGCGCTGCTGTTCAGGCAAACTTTGAAGAAATTGTTTCCATTATTATCACAATTCACACTTCCTAAAACAAAACATTTCTGAATGAGGTTTTTTTTATTAAATAGATATGTAGTTGCAAAACATTTTACGCTGCTAACAGCATGCAAATATCATAGCCTACATCGTGTTTCGAAATTTGAAGAAGTAAAAAAATTTTACATGAGAAGCAACGCTGCTCCATTTAACGAATTAAAAAATTGTTCATAAAAGTCACGGTTGATTTTTTTTTTGAGTTTTTGGCCAATTGTGTGTATTGATTTTTTCATATCAATTCATATAAAAATATATTGAATTTTTATTAAAAAGTGAACGCCATTTTAGAGTACAGACCTGTAGTAAAACTCGATGGCTGGAAATATCCGTCCACCTGTGCTTGCTTGACATTGATTTTCATCGGGCTTTTGACAGAACAATTTCCCGTAGGGATAGTGAAGCCGGGAACACTCACTTGAAGTGTGTTGAAGTCACTTGTAGCCACCTTCAAAGTTCAGTTACAATTTTAATTTCTTTTAAACTATTTCACCCCCCCCCCCCCCCCCCCCTGTTCTTATTAAAGAATTGCCAACCCCATAATGAAATAATTCAACGGATAAGCACATGAGAATTTTGTACCTAGTAACGAAAATCAACCCCCTTCTTTGCGGAAGGAGGACGGGGAAATAGTTGAAGCGCTTCCAATTTTAGAATAAAAAACTAAAGTAATCATAAGCTACTCAATTCTTCTAAGTGAGTGGTCCCTTTTTGATTCTGTTTTTAACGCAAGTTGTTGTTTTCTGGAACAAATTTTTTCTTGTCAGCATCCAAAGAGAAGTTTTTAGTTGCACGGACTGTGATATGATTTCAAACCTTAGATCTACTTAACAAGCCCACCCTCTTCCCTCCCTATGGTATCTACTAAACAATTGCCACCCATATAAATAAAAGCAGCAAATTAGCACTAAGAAACAAAAAAGCTTGATGTATTTTTTTCACTTTTCGATCATTCTTAATCTTTTTTGATCACTCTTTTAACATGATTTACTTGCTGGATCTTCTCTGTTGTACGGCTCGAAACTGATATTGCTGTATTTATGAAAAAATGAGCATGCTGCCTGACTCTGATTGTTAAATTTAAACCCAGCGAAGGAAGATCTGGATTCACAACAGGGGCGGATTGAGGATTTTCTCAATGGGGTGCGGATTTTCAAAAAATTTCGAAAATTTTGTCGACCTTTTTTTAGGTCCACCAAATTGATTTTTCTGAGCTCTCCCAAATCACTGGAAAGACTCCTTATGGACAAAACTTTCAACAGCAGGCAAATTAAAAAAAAAACAGGCTAAAAGTGTTTTTTTTTGGCGCGCGCTCCTCTCTCAAACTTAGTATGATTTGGCGCCAAAGGCGCGTTTAGAAAACTTTAGGGTCAGTCAGCCAAGAATGGATATCTCGAGTTAGTTCAAAGGGGGACCCTTTGGGTCGGCAGGAGGTCGAATCCCAGAGGGAAAAGTGTCCAAACCGCCAGTCCCCCCTAAATCCGCTGGTGATTCACAATGAAAACAACAGTTCAATAAATAACTTGACAATTTTGATCCGTATAACAGTAAGGAGCCTACGTGCTGACGCGGCTGTCGATAACTTACCGGAATGTTTGATACCCCTGTCTGATTAACCTGGCTCTGGAAAAATAAGTTCACTTGTGTCATCACTAAATCCCGGGTGTACTCATCTCCGGAATTGAACTTGTCGATTTGGTCCTGAGAGAGAACAATTTCGCCAGTGGTTGCTTCAGTGCCAAGACTTGCATAGCAATGAGTTATTTGCAGAAGAACAAAAGCGAAGCTCAGATTGGAAATCAGTTTGAACATCATGAATCAGCAAAATCTGAATTTTTCAGTATTTACAAAAATTTTCAGAATTGTTTTTTGTCAATATTGACAAGACTGCAACAACTGAGTTTTTCACTGTTTATAGCAGAGGTCAGAACTAGTAGCTTATTTATCAAAGCGGACAAAAATCAGAGCTGAAAACGGAACTGAAAATATGAATGAGTAACTTTAGTGAATCAAGAAAGTGGGGCGAATGTTTGATATATTGAGTCTTAGTTTCTCTAGGCAAAGAGAGTATAGAGCGCTTTTATGCTTTTATTGATGGGTTGGAGCAAGTTCATAACAAGTAAAATACGAAATTACTGAAATCTCGAGTTGCGATCAATTTTATAAATAACAGTAGTTTTTGAATAACATAATAATGTATCTGAGATCAGTAATAAAACTGACAATTCTGCTCGCACAAAAATTCATGTTTTAAGCTTGTACTCTTGATTAAGGGCTGTTTTTAATAAGCAAAAGGTTTCAAGAGTTTTTAATGCCTAGAACTTGGTAATAAAACTACACACTCGAGGAAGGTCCAGAAAAGAAAACTTTTAAGTATAAACTGAAACTAACATCAACAAGTTGAAACAGCTTAAAAGAATCGATAAAAGTTGAAGAGTTTAAGTACCCGCTAAGATGATTCATGTTCATTGACTTTTGTGTGATTTCGAAAGTACCTTCTGATACTATTTTATAAATGAAAACAGACCTGTTTGAACGAATTTATTCGGAAAAAATATCTGAGTTTGTTACGGGTTTTGATCGCTAACGTTAAAAGTGGCTCTCGGTTTCTGTCAAAATGTTTTTTTTTGTTTTTGGTTTGCAAACAAAATCATAACTAACTGAAAAAGAGAAAGATATTGATACAACAGGACCCAGACCAAGGAATACCAGGAAGGATAAAGGAATACCAGGAAGCTATACCAGGAAGGATATAGCTATCTATGTAGGATCGGTGATCCTGAAACTGTTTTGCCCAACTGAGATTTACCCATTAACTTTCACTACGCTGCATGCATTTTTCAAAGTGAACTCCCAATCGAAATCTCAGTTGGGCAAAACAGTTTCAGGATCACCGATCCTACATAGATAGCTATATCCTTCCTGTGATGTCGAGAAATTTCCATCACAAGTGGCCAGTTAAAAAGTCGAATTTTATCTACAGAAAAAATCACTCTGAGATTTTGTATTCCGTCACTTTTTCCAAAATGTAACGAACATAATTCTTTATGATCCATTATTATCTGATGTGCTGTCAAATCACTAAACTTGTTGATTATTATAATAATGTTTCAAAAATTTGTCTGAAATTTTCAAAAACAGTTCATACTTTTCACAAATTGACAAGTACTTTCGGCTAAAAATATGTTTTCAAGAAAACTTAAAAGTCTTGGCTACACAAGTTGTTTTTTGGCTACACATGTTGTTATTCTGTTCACAATTTTTTTTGCGCCACAAATGTTTTTTTTGTTTTTATTTTTTTACCTTCTCAAAGTAAGTTTTTTTCTAAACCCCCCCTTATCCAATTTACGTCCTTCCTTCTCTCCTTGTCACCTCCCACTTTTTCACCACCCTCTCAATTAAGCACAACTCTACATGTCCTTCCAAGGGCCACACAACACTACATGTCCTTCCGAGGGCCACACAACACTACATGTCCTTCCGAGGGCCACACAACACTACATGTCCTTCCGAGGGCCACACAACACTACATGTCCTTCCGAGGGCCACACAACACTACATGTCCTTCCGAGGGCCACACAACACTACATGTCCTTCCGAGGGCCACACAACACTACATGTCCTTCCGAGGGCCACACAACACTACATGTCCTTCCGAGGGCCACACAACACTACATGTCCTTCCGAGGGCCACACAACACTACATGTCCTTCCGAGGGCCACACAACACTACATGTCCTTCCGAGGGCCACACAACACTACATGTCCTTCCGAGGGCCACACAACACTACATGTCCTTCCGAGGGCCACACAACACTACATGTCCTTCCGAGGGCCACACAACACTACATGTCCTTCCGGTGTTTCGAGGGCCTTTTATTGAAACCAATTTTGTCCCCTCTGCCTCATGTGTAAAGTTTAAAAGGGTGTGACAATCTGAAGTAGGGACGGATCTTGAAAGTTCAGGAGCGGGGGGGGGGGGGGGGTAAAAGATTCACATTTACGCAAAAAAAATCAACTTTGATGGATTCTATGAACACAACACAAAAAATGAACACAAAAACAATGGACTAAATTGAAGCGAAAAAAACTAATTATAATTGACTGTAATGGATTATTGAAAATATAAAGTAATCGTTTAAAATTTCCTAAAAGTCTACTCTCATGGTTAAATGGCTCTTAAAAGTTGACAAAATATGTAGCAAAAATTTAAAAATAATAATTTGAGCTAATTTTAAAATCAATTTAATTTGATACAAAAAAGTTTTTAAGCAAAATAAAATTCATTCGATTCTATATCGAATTAAATTAAAATTTTGCCAAATGTTTCTAATTCAGTTTCATCCAAAATATACTAAATTTTGGAACATAAAACATTTCAAAAGCGACAATTGATGTTTGGATTCTTGTTACCCCATATTAATTTCGCTTTAATTTGCTTTAAGCTCGATGTATTAATAATGCCTGGTTTCTGCCCGTACTGACAAGAACGGGATTGCAACCGATTCTATACAAAATTTCGCTTTAATTTGAAAATATGGATTATTGAATTAAAGCAATCAAGTGTTGCCTCTTCTGCAATCAAGTGTTGCCTCTCTAAAAATCCACAATTTTTAGAGAGGCAACAAAATCGATTTTTTTTCGACAGTAAAAATCAATTTAATCCATTCTAAATTTTTTACAGGAAATTGTTAATCGATTTCTCTCATAATTATCTATGTAAAAATCAATTTCAATCTCAAGTTTGTCTCAAAGCTGCATGAAATCAATAACTCCCCATGAAACTGCGCTTTTGTGCTCTATTTGCGTAAGCTGCATGGGAACAATGGCCCATCCAGCAGCCTGACAACAATCAGTTTACAGGAAATAACTGAGACACTTAATTATGAGAATCTTAGGAGCTATCTCGGTACATAAAATAATAACCCGAGTAGAGTTTAAATAGCATATATGTCAAAAGAAATAGTTTGATATATTGAAAAAAAAAATAAAAAACGTCAGATTACAGCAACATTTGTTTATGCACTAAAAAAGCTTCTCGAATGTGTGAATGAATTTTGTTTTTTTAAATGCAATTTGTGTTTAGAGTTCCAGAAAGTCCAATCGGAGCTACAGTTTTTGGGTAAATAACCTTTTTGCACAGTTGATTAATTGTCATAAGAAAAAGTGAAACACCAATTCAAATATGAAGGAAAAGTACGTTATATACAATTTCAAGACAAACATCATGCCCCAACAGAACCAGAAAAAATAAAGATAAAAAATGAAAAGAATTATGAGATGAGTACAAAAGTTATTGCATCTAATATTATTGCTATTTTTTGGACGCAGAAAAATTTTACCTACAAATTTTTCAACTTTAAATTGCTCAGACATGTGATTCGAAAAAGCGATCTTTATCAAATAGAAGAATATCAGATCTTTCAAGCATAAAATGTTCACCAGCTATTTATCTACATTACATTGAAGGAAATAATGAATTTTTCAATATCCTTAGCCTAATTTTGCATCTGGAAATCTCTATAAATTATTCAAAAACATACTCAAAATCATAAAAACTAAAAAATAAAAACATGAAATTGGCAGATTCTGTTTGTCAGGACAAAAAGTCATCTGGCGCTTGAAAAATGCATTTGGTTATCTAGTTTTTGTATGAAATAAATCAAACTATCAGAAATTCAATATCAAAGATGAACACAAAAATTTGCTCAGCCTTTGTTTTTGCATTTTTCTGCAATCAAGTTTTCGCAATTGACACCAAAAATCTCTCAACTTTGGCCAAAAAGCACTCCGAGAAGTGTGATTGCCTAATGAAAACGGGACAACCTTTCCAATTATCTCTTGAAATTTTCCGGGCTGACTGCTGGGCTAAATGCTTCAAAACCAGCGCTTGTTTTGCATTTGAGTACTATGACCAATCAAAATTGTGCAAACTCTACAATGACATGAGTATCGGTTACAACGCGCTTTCAGTTGAAAAGAACTCTTGCGAAAGACATCCAAACTATGGGTATTTTGAATTCTACATTATAAAACGAGTGGAGAATGGAGAAACTTTTGACTGTGAGAGTATCAAGTTGAAAAACTCATTGGCGGACGATGATTATTTTGACATAAAAATAAGAGGCGTAGTCGTTCGCGTCTTTTGCGTGATGACTGCTACTCCCGCGAAAACGTACGTGGATGTTGCTGGAAAATCGGTGTGGGGAGGATCTTTGTTTCCTCATAACGCACCTGCCTATGCGGTAAATCGAACATGGTCCAGGGTCCAGATTCAAACAAGCTCTTGTTTGACTTCGATTATCTGCGATGATATGACTTTCAGGTAGTTTATCAAAACAACTGACATGTGATAAACCCACACACAAAATAAAATCATTTTTTCCTTCTTTTTTTAACGTAAGAAATATATTTGATATGCGCTATTTTTTGAAAAGTTGATGCTGTTCAGCGTATACTTGATTCCTGTCAACTGTCCTGGTTATATACAAAAGGAAAAAATATACATGTTTTTGGTAATTCTTCAGACAATTTTTTTTTTCAAATTTAACGGGTTGACCAAAAATGCTAATCATACAATTTTCATATATGGAAAAATGCTAGTCATACACTTTTCATGAAAGTCCATACGTACAGAAAATTGCATGAAGGGTCTATAATTAGTGATTTTTCATATATGGCAGTTGTATGACTAGCATTTTTCCATTAACCAAAAAAATAGATTTTTAGAAAATTTGTTTTTTCAACTTTTTTCGACTGTGTTCTTAACCGAACATAAATGACAAAAACCATATTTTACTCAACACAGAGTCACCAAAGGTTTGATCGTCTTGCTTTTTGCAATGCATTAGAAACGACCTCAATTGTATAACAGTCTTCTTTTAAATTTATATAGCATCAAGTTTTTAAATTTTGGTGAAAGTTTTCCAAGACGATTATCTTCAAAGTTAAAATTTTTAAGTTATCAGGCACTGATCAAGGTATACATAGGCATGTCATACAAAATTAAGTATGGGTTTGTAGCGTTTTTGAAAAAGTTATCCAGTGAAACGAAAAAATCCAATTTTTTTTTGCATCCAGGACTACGTTATGCACACAAAAATTTAATTTTGCATGCCAAAATTTATTTTTGAAATGATTTTTTGGGTACCAAATTCGATTTGCGGTTGAAAAAAAAATTTAAAAAAACTTAGGTAGTTTCAAAA